TTCAGGGGCAGCCCTATGGGCTTTTCTTATTTCCTCTCTCTTGGCCTGCAATTTGATGTTTAACTGACCTTCACGCACAAAATCCTACTAATGAATTCAACTCATCTTTGAACAGAAGGTGATAAAAGTAATACTGCGCATCGGGAAAGTAGGGGAATTAATGAAGTAATTAACCTTAGTCAGCATGTTATGTGACCCTGGCCCAAGGAACGGATAACAGAACCAGGGAAAATGCCTGAACCGAAGGAGAGTTTATGATCAGTGGGAAAAGGGGAGGATACTTAAAAGCCATAGTGAAAGGGCAGCACCATAAGAAGCTCTATGGGGCTAGTGCTCAGGGATCACCCCCACTGAAAGGTTTTGGGTTGAAATTTGGGCTAATGGCATGTGGGGCATTGCAAGGGTGGTTTTGATGGAGGAAAAGTGCACTTCTTGGTTTTTTTTTTCTTTTCTCTTTCTCCTTTACTCTCTCTCTCTCTCTGACTCCTCATCTCTTCCTGCCTAGCATCTTATTTAGCTTCCACTACTGGAAGCTCCTTGGAGCAATCCCCTCCTGTGTGATTGCCTATCCCCTGGCCCCCGTGCTTCAAGAGGAACAGCCTGGAGTTAATGCAATTCAGGAAAGACCTAGAGATTCAGGTGGCCCAGTGGGACCTCTACCTTGACCACCCTGCCTCCGTCAGCGGATATGAAGCCTGTAGCCCAGGGCTCCGTGCGCTCCTGGTGGGACCCCCGCCTTCCATCCGTCCACATGCAGTACCCTCTGCCTCAGCTCCCTTATCTTCCTTGAGAGCATCAGCACTGGGCTGGAGTTCCAAGCACCGAGGCAGGATAGCTGACCCGGAGGTGCTTTCCTGTCTAACCCACCCTCTGCTATTAGATGTGTTAGAACCAGCAGGGTCCAGTGGACATTTTTTACTCTTTCCTAAGCATACACAGCAGTCTATCTTGAGTACTGTGACCCATAAGACCTGGTTTGCCCTGGTTGCACCGTGCTGGGCAAATGAGTAGGTTCCCTGCCCTCATGTGGTCCAAGCGGATAGCCGTGGAAACCAGTGAGAGCAAATGAAACCACTGCAGTGACTGATGCTGAGATAAGAGTCTCTCAGGTTAGACCAGAAGCACAAAGGGGAGAGGAATACACTCTGCCGGGAACTGGAGAATCAAGAGAAGTTTCGCAGTCCAGGTGACGTCCTGGAGGGTAGGAGATATTTGCCGGGTAGATGAGAGAGCACAGGCACTCAGGTCAGCAGAAGGCTGTAGGACCAAGAAGCTGCAACAACAGTCCAAGTGGTTCACCCCAAGTGCAGCGTGCTGGCAGAGAGCAGGGCTGAAGGAATGGGGAAGGGCAGAGGGTTACGGGTTTTTGTGGCTAAGAAGTCTGGCCTGACCTCTGGCAGCTGGGAAAGCCTGAGGGGGATGCAGCAGAATGGGAACACATCTACTCATTTATTTATTCACTGTTTTATAGGATACATGTGTTTGGAACATGTTATGTGCCGGGCATTTTTCCAGGCATTAGGGGAACATCAATAACCTATGTGATAAAAATCTCTGTCCCTGTGGGGTTTGCTTTCTACTGGTGGGAAACCATCAATATTATCATAAAGGCTGGTGTGTGCCATGGAAAAATAAAGAACAGATTAAGGGGATCGGTCATGCTGGGGTGGACAAGGCCCTTCAAGATTTGAAGAAACTGGAGGAAGTGATGCAGATGGGGTGGGAGGGGTGGGAGGAGAAGGTGTGGCAGGCAGAGGAAATCGGGGTTCACCAGCCTCAATCTGGGAGCAAGCCAGGCTTGTGTGAAGAATCCTGGAGGCCTGGGGGGCTGGAGTTAAGTAAACTAAGAGCCGCGTAGGTGAAGATGAGATCAGGGGCGTAACTGGAGGGAGGTCATGGGCTCTGCAAGGCCTTATCGGCCACTATAGGGACTTAGGTTTATATTGCAGTGAGATGAACAGCCATTAGGGAGAGAGAGGGAGGGAATGGGAAGACAGAGAGACAGAGAGGGAGGGAGCAAGTGCACACGAGCATGAGAAAGAGTGAACAGAGGGTGGTCAGAGCCAACTTAAAATTCAGAGGGATCCTTGGGCTCCTGAGCTAGGCACAGTCTGCAGTGTAAGGTCCAGAGCAGAATCAGCAAGACCAGTAAAGAGGCTGTTGGGATACTCTAGACAAGTGATGATGGTGGTTTGGACCAGACAGCGTAACCATGAAAGAGATGGGACGCGGTGGATTCTGGATATACCCAGATTTTCATTGTAGAATTATCAGTTTTATAGTGTAGAGGGTAAGATTTTACTTGGGGCTAACATTTATTGAGTGCTTGTTGTATGCCAGATACCCATCGAAACGCTTCCCACGTGTTTACTCATTTCTTTCCCACAGTCATCCAATGAGAGAGGAATCGTTATTATTCTCCCCTCTACGTATGAGGGGAATGAAGCAGAGAAATAATGGTGGGATTGGGAAAACCAGATCATTCCAGGCATGAGACGATAAGGGTCTGGGTGAATGCTATCACATTGGAAATGAAGGGGGAAATCAGGCTATGAAGTGGGCGTGGGAGGGAGAAGATAATATTTTCCATCCTTAGTTATTTTATTTCTTTCTTCCTGAGCAGGGCACCGTGTAAGTGACCATTAAGAAGGTGCAGACAGCTTGAGTCTCTTCTCTGGACAAAAGACTTTTGGCCACATTTTCTCTGTAAAGCTGGGAGAGAGGTTTATTGTTTGCAGAGCCATCATGTTGATTCATGGGGGGCAGATAGTTGGAAATAACTGCAGCGTAAATATATCTTTACACTGAGAGAGACGATGGAAATGTAAACGTTGAGAGGGCTGAGGGGAGGTTTTTATAACGTGTTTTAATTTCTTTCCCTTACCACTTTCTGCTAAGTGAGTTTCTAAAGGAGGGGTCTAATTTCTTTCTTGTCCCTGGAACCATAGGCAATGACAATTTGCAAGTCTGGATTGACTGGAAATGAGTCTTATTAATGAAGTTGTCAGCACGAAGGTGGCAGAAGGAGATCGTGTGCCAGGTGACGTTTTGGATTCAGAAGGAAGAGACCTAGATTCTAACTCCAATGCCGAGGCTCGCCTTATAAAACAAAGACCTTATGCCTTATTTATAAAACAAAGACCATAAGAGACAGCAATAAGGACGGAGGCTTCCAAGGCTTTTTTAGGATGAGGAAGATGCTAAATAAATGAGAGGTACATAATGAAAAACGAAAATCTCATATTAGGAACCTTTGAAGGGAGAGAGTTAAAGTTATTTACTGGAACTCAAGGGGATTTTTCTGCTGCATTTACCATCTTGACAGTTTGCCCAAAGAAAGGCATACGGCAGTTAGAAGTTATTAAGATTTACAAACGTCATTTGTCATCACAGCTGGAGACTCAATAACAGCCTCTCAGTCTGGGCTGCACTTTAAGGTTTGCCCTCATCTTCTCTGGGCATCGGCTGTAGTTTCAAAGACTCCTTCCTTAAGATTTCTTTGTTCCCGGGTATGTTGACTGTGTTTTAGCGCGATCCGTGTTCCTAGTGCTGCATTACATCTCCATTTCATGCCCTCAGGCGTGCTTGGAAATATATTCCAGATACCTCAAAGTCGGTGACCTGGGCCATGTTGAAAAGTAACCTACATAACCTACACCGAAATGACTGGATCATCGACATTCCCCTGGACTCATTGATAGACTAAGGATGCAGAGATTGTCCAGTTGCATCACTGATGGTACCAAATAGACCGTGATTTGCAAAAAATACATTTAAGTATTTATTTATTTTTATTTCTATGGGAGCAGGTAAGCATATAAATATTACCATAAACCAGAAGTGCTCGTCCTAAATTAAATTGCAATTTGAAGATAGTCTAGAATATGGGGAATTCTTAAGCCATTTATATGCTAACTTGCTTTTTAAATTATTTTTTTAAATGTCTCGTTTCATGGCAATTTAAGCAGAAATGGTTTCTTAGTGGCCATCTGGTCATTCTAAACCGTGTTCAAAGAAGAAATCTTGACATGTACTCACGTTTTATGGCTGAAAAAGGCTGTTTAAGGTCATCTCATCTTGGAATGTCAGAATCTCCAGGTTACGAGTGACATGGAATTATTTGAATTTCCTTCTCAATACCCAGCATGAGCATTTCCAGTGCCAGGGAACTCATTATTTCCCAGAGGAATCTATTCTCTCATTAGAATTTTAGACAGATCTTCTTTCTATTGAATCCAAATTCATCTGCCTCTAACCCTCGGGTCCCTGTTGCAACCATTGGGACTGAGCAGTTCGAATAGAATTTATTTTCTATGTGACAACTCTTCAAATATTCGAAGAAATCTATCATGCAAGCTATCTTCCCCCCCTCCCTCCTTGCCTCTGTCCTCCCTGCTTCAGGCTAAACAACCCAGAAAGAACTGTTGTTTATGAAACGGAGGCAAGAACCCTCACCAGTCTGGTTAAGTTTAGCAACTTATCATCTAGGTGATAAACATTCTCCCCTTTTGGGATCACCATAAGAATATTTCCTTATCTTTGGTCTTTTGGAACTGATTTCACATAGATTGCTAATAGCTCGTCCTCTCCTCTCTCTGATCCCTGCGTCTTGGAATATAATTCATATGAATCAAAACACTTGAATTCATCAAAGATCGGGGAACCCTTTTAAAATCTTTATATTGGTGGGACGCCTGGGTGGCTCAGTGGTTGAGCATCTGCCTTCGGCTCAGGGCGTGATCCTGAGGCCCGGGATGGAGTCCTGCGTTGGGCTCCTTGTGGAGAGCCTGCTTCTCCCTCTGCCTAGGTCTCTGCCTCTCTCTCTCTCTCTGTCTCTCATGAACGAATAAATTTTTAAAATCTCTATATTGACTTCGGTGTTTTTATTCTTTTCAAGTTTTATTTTATTGTGAACATAACGTGAGATTTACCCTCTTAACAAACTTTCAAGCATACAATATATTATCATTGGCTGTAGGTACAATGTCGTACAACTGACCTCTAGAGTTTATTTATCACGATTAACTGAAGCTTTGTGCGGGTTGATTGGTAACTCCTCACGTCTCCCCCAGCCTGGCGGCTCCTGGCAATCACCACTCCACTCCTCAATTCTATGAATTTGACTGTTTTAGATACCTCGTATAAATGGAATCATGCAGTATTTGTTTTTCTGTGACTGGCTTATTTCACTAAGTGTAATGTCTTCAAGGTGCATCCACGTGGTTGCCTTGTACAGAGACTCACACCTGTCAGGATGGCTATCATCTGAAAAGCAAAAGACAATTATTGTTAGTGAGGATGTGGAGGAGTAGGAACCTTTGCACACTGTTGGTGGAATGCAACATGGTACAGCCAGTATGGAAAAAAAATATGGGAGTTGCTCAAAAAACTAGAGGTAGAACTACTGTGTGATCCTGCGATCCCACTTCTGGGTGTTACTCCAAGACAACTGAAATCAGAATGTCGAAGAGATAGTAGCAGTCCTGTCTATAGTCGCTGTGTCTCTATTCTCAATCGCCAGGATGTGGAAAGAACCTGAAAGCCCATCGATGGACAAATGGGCAAAGGAAATGTGGAACGTACATATCAATGGGATACCGTTCAGCCTTTAAAAAGAAGGACATTCTGCACTCATCTCGGATCGTGGTAGCTCTTCAAGTACCTTTCTGCCTCTTTTGTTTTCCTTGGCAGAAAAAATAAATCGTAACAAAAGTACAGACTTTAAAAGATGTGCGTGAGCTGGTGGTGAACATGGCATGAGGTAAAGACATGCTGAATCAGCACGTCGGACACCTGAACTAATGTGCTTCGATACAAAATATTTTTTTTTGATTTTTATTTTTATTTATGATAGTCACAGAGAGAGAGAGAGAGGCAGAGACACAGGCAGAGGGAGAAGCAGGCTCCATGCACCGGGAGCCCAACGTGGGATTCGATCCAGGGTCTCCAGGATCGCGCCCTGGGCCAAAGGCAGGCGCCAAACCGCTGCGCCACCCAGGGATCCCGATACAAAATATTTTAAAAACTAAAAAAGAATGTGTGTGTGTGATGTATGTTGCGCCCTGGCACAGAGCAAGTGGTCATGTTCTCATTTGCTGTTTTCATCATGAACGTAAATAGGGCAAACTTGCCGTGCTCCCAAGTCGTTTCCATACATCTCAGCCTCTCCAAATGCGGCTGTCACAGGCCCGTGACTGTCATTCTTATCTGCACTTGACCATGTGACTTCTCCTCCAGCTCTTACAGAATTCTTCACTGCAATTGTTAATAATTACATCATTGGAGTGTTTTTTGAGAGCTTTTAACTCTTTTAAAGTCCTCACTCACTTTTAGCTTCTCAAGCCCTACAGATAATGCCTGTTTGTCTCCCACACGCCTTTGCAAGCCTGTCTTCTTCCAACTGAGGCTACACGGCTGACACTAGTCTTTCTCCCCGTGGGCATAACTAATTCTAGGGCTGCACAGTCATTTTTCTCCTCTGTTTTGTTTTAACTTTATAACCAATTTGACCTTGTGAGTTAGAATTACATACAAAGCAGCAATCCCCACCCCATCTCTTCCTCTAGATTTTGAAGAGATACAATTTTTTCGGGAAGTCAAGTGAAGAACTCATTAGATGCGCTGTTGTTCCCTAATGAGACTTCAGCAGGTGGCTAGAGGGATCGACTTCACCCACCACGACTATCTGAGCTGCTTAAAGTCCTGGGCCGTGATTTGCTGCTCTGGGTCACTGGAGCCGAAGAGCATGCCCAGGATCAGCTTGAACATACGATAGCATAGTTCTGCCATGGTCAGCTGTGTGACTAGGGGCAACTTACTTCTGTGTTTTCATTGCCTTATCAGAAATGAGGGTGGCAATCATGCACACTTCACAGTATATTTGGTGGGCATTTGAAAAGTCAGTGTGCATAAAATGCTTAGAATCGTGCCTGGCTCACAGTGAGGATCACTAAATGCTCCTTGATACTTTTATTCCACACAGGGCAAGGCACTTACGTACCCTTAACTGAAAAAAAAAAAACAAATTCTCCCCTACCTGTGAAGAGGATCTATGGAACAACTAGAGCGGACAGGAACATTCACTTTGGCCAGAATGAGCGTGCCCACGGCGGGGTAAGAGATGCTACGGGCAGATCTCCCTAATATCTGATGTGTTTGTTTGGGTAATCCCAGCACTTCCCAACACAATGCCTGGTACGAGGTAAGCATTCAATGACAAACTGCAATATAGGGATAAGAGCAGAAAAAAAAATTTGGACAATTTTGCCATTATATGGATTAGGAAAAATTTCTCTATCTGGCCAATTGATTGCAAGATATTCCCACAATAATGTTAACCTCTATTCCTCTTTTCTTGCCATTAATGCTTTTTATCATGCTTCAGAAGCTCTGCTTTCAAACCCTGAGATTCCCATGGAGGTATAAATATCTACCTCCTCTTCTAACACATCTGCTTCTTTTTAATATCCCACACCAATGATTGCTATAATTGCACCAAATCTTGGGATAACGTGGAAGCAATCTTGAGTCTGACCATGAACATTAATAGTTGATACTTACTATGTGCCAGCCACCATGCTGCATGTCTTATATGAAATGTCCCATTTAAGCCTCATAGGAACCCTATGAGTAGGTTCTGCTATAATTTTCAATTTAAAGATGCAAAACTTTGGATTTGGGAAAGTTAAATTACTAACTGAGAGTTACATAGCTGATGAGGGACAGGGTTAAGATTTTTAACTAAGAAATTTCAAGACTGCAGTATTCCTCACTTTAACTTTCTTTTTGTGCTTATAACATCAGTACATATAAGACAGTATTGTCTAAAAGCTCTTCCAAATTATTTTTCTCACTGAATTTATTATAATTCTGATGGGTTAAGTGTTGGTCACTCACATTCATCTCTAGGACCCCCTAGATGTGCTCTACACATCCCCCTGTACTCCATCCCAAAGGAGGAATGTTGACGTGGGTAAAGATATAATGGGATCCTCCCAACATTCACACGTGAGCTGCCATGCTAAGAGGTGAAGGTTTTAGACGGAGGAGCAGGGGATCAATGGCGTTGCTTCTCTCATGGTACTATGTGCTAGCTTGGAGGAGACTTCAAGTTAATGAAAGAACAAGATATGGTACAGGGTAAAGGAGGCAGACAGGCTAGGCCAGCTTTGCCCTTTATCTAGGGGAAATGTCTTTCCTGATCCCAGGCTTGGTCTCCCTACTTCTTCTTGAAAACTGATAAAATTCAGAGGACAGATCAGGATGTGACCTAGAGAAAAGGCATGAGACAAACAGTTATAGGGACTCCTGGGTGGCCCAGCGGTTGAGCATCTGCCTTTGGCTCAGAGCGGGTTCCCAGTCCTGGGATCGAGTCCCACATCAGGGTCCCCACAGGGAGCTGCTTCTCCCTCTGCCTATGTCTCTGCCTCTCTCTCTGTCTCATGAATAAATAAATAAAATCTTAAAAAAGAGAAAGAAACAGTTATAGCTATCATCTTTGAGTTTCACTCTGCTTGGTTCATTGTAAGCTCCGTAGGAAAATTTATTAATAGAGTAATCAAATGATGAATTATTTTTTTGAAGACTCGATTCCAGGACCCTGGGATCATGCCCTGGGCTGAAGGCAGGTGCTCAACTGCTGAGCCACCCAGGCACCCCTCAAAAGATGAATTAATTACTGTAATAATTTAGTCGACCACGAGTTTGTTGACACTTAATATACTTTCCTTTGTTTCCACATTTAAATATTTTTAGTACTTTTTTTTTTTTTGAGAACTAATCCTGAAGCTGGAAGGCATAATAAACTTTGCAGACTTTTCTTACAGGTATTTCAGAAACTTTGCATCTTACTGAAGGAAGAATTAGTCATTAAGATCATTCCTGGAATGTCCTCTGAATTTTAGGTGTCTGAATTTAGAACATCTCAAACCAAGATTCCTCCAGCTTTATAGAGTCCTACCTTTTTGCTATAGTCTATAAAGTTGGTCTAAGATTTCTAAGAAGATTAAATAATTTTTCATTGTGGTTGCAGTGGTAGGATGTTGTACCACCAACGCAAACCTCCCGCATTCAGGCTCAGACGAAGAAGGAAAGTTTATCAAGGGCCTGTAGGATTCCATTGTCAGGATATACGGCACCATCCCCAGAATGTAAGTACGTCATTAACTGCGTTATGTCCCCTATGATTTTGTTTTACCTCCATCTTGCAGATGGAAAGACAGGCCCGATCTTACGTTAGAAAAGTCTGCAGCTCTAAACCATAGGCTTTGAGAGTGAGGCCTATTTATATCACATCCCATCTCTGTGTCCGTAAGCAAGTCATTTAATTTACTTTAGGCTTAGTTTTTTTTGTTTTGTTTTGTTTTGTTTTTAAGATGGGAGAAGTAACGCCTTGCAAGGTTACGATGAAAATTAAGCGAGAAAAAATAATAATAGATTATTTGTATATTTATCTCCATAAGGGGTCTTTATAAAATTAGAAGTAGATATTCACACCATTGCAATGCTCATCTTAATCAGATTTTACCTGGGCAGAGGAGAAAGGCCTGCTCTCCCGGTTCATTCAGCTCAACCCCAACTAGAGTGTGGAGTTGCCTACATTTGTATTTCTGGTGAAATTCTGTAGGTCTTTCTGGTAGTGGAGGACTGGGTGAAAGTTTACCCTGCAGGTCAAAGTGGACCATGGACAAAGCGGAGGGTAAGCAAAGATCATGGCTCTCCCTCTGTGGACCTTTTACTGGATCTTACTTCCTTCTCTTATTCATTTGCCACAGAAAACTGACCTAATTTTGAGACTAACACCCCAGCCAGTTGTCATTTATGATGCTTTACGTAGCAATTGGAAATTACTTGTCACATCTCACCTTTTATACTAAACTAGTTCCCTGAAACTAAGATGATGGTAAATGGTATTAATGTCTCAATGCGTTAGCTTTCTCAGATGACAACTTTGAACTTCTTATAAGCCTCTCTGGCAATTTTGTTCACTGGAAAATATAATTTTAGTGAATGAAAATTTTAGCAAAACCATTTGAGTGTTATGCAGGGAGCCCTGAAGTCATAAACTGAGTCATCAGCATATCTGTAGAAGGAGAGCTGTCCCAGACTAGAGGATCCTGGGAGTTTATTATTTTGAGTACAGGGGTGCCTGGGTGGTATAGTTGATTGAGTATCTGACTCTTGGTTTTAGCTCAGGTTAATATCTGGGGGTCAAGGGATCAAGCCCCACATTAGGCCCTGCACTCAGTGGGGAGTCGGCTTCAGATTTTCTCTGCCCCTCCTCCTGCTCTCTCTCTGTCTCTCAGATAAATAAATAAATCTTAAAATAAAACAAAATAAAAATTTCCTTAAAAGATAATTTGAGTCCAAAATGCCATATTTTATCTAATATTGGAAGGCCATTGATAAGATGCACCATTATTTTATGACAATCAAGAAGAATTTTTTAATTAAAAAATTTAAATTATAACCAATGCTTTCTTATTTCTTAGAATTTTAATTTTACTCTAGTTGAAAGAGATATTTTTGACTTATTTATACATCAATTCTTAGAATATATGTTATGCATATACATATCAGTATTAATATACATATATATCATGTATGCATAAGAAGGAACAAATATTAAGTGAAATAAGTTTAATATATTTCTAAGACTTTTTTCAATTCCAAGTTCTACTTTTCCTAAACATTTTCAACTTTGAATCATTGGTATTTTTGTCTTTCCACACATTATTTTCCTTCATGCCTTTAAGTGTTGGTGATGTAGCATTACTTAAAAGGGTGTTCCCCGTTGGTCTGCAGGATTTTCTTCTAAGCCTTTGAAACTCTGCACAAGCCATGGCAACTTCATTATAACTACTGCTTGGCAGCAGCAGAAATACATCTGGATGTCAAAGATGTTAAAGTATCAAAAAATATGCAGCTTGGGACTGATAAATTGTAAATTAGCTATGATTGTTAAGGGTAAATGTTTACATTTTCATTATGTATTTTTTCAGAGCATGAAGCTAAAATGAGAAATAATCATAGTACTTCACACTTGTGTATAACTTTTTAGTTGCCAAAGCAGTTTCATACATAATATCCGTAATATCTGGTTAAAATTTCAGCCTAGAACCAAGGTTAGCAAGAGTATCACTTTCTCTGGGGGCAGACAATGTCTTACCAAACAATGAATCAATGTGATTACCCTGCATAAGTGTATTCACACATGTATTCTTTCTCATTTCATTTGGTAGCTGTGGAAGAGACTATATGCTCACCCAAATCTATTCTTCTCTTTCCCCGGGGCACAAAATCTAAACACAGCAAATTTAAAGAGAGATGTTCACTTGGTTTTCTTTGCATTTGTGGGTTACAACTTTTTGAGTCTCAAAAATAACTATCTATATGGACCAGCATTAGGTGGTAATACTGAAGACAAAAGCATTAAAGGCCTCTCGTAGTCATTAGTAGAGACAATAGAGACTTCCAATATACCAGGAACTGAAGACAAAAATAGCAGAAAATTCTGCAGGCATGATATCCTATTTCTTGCTAAATCATTTGTGAACATTGTATACCAGTTTGAACATTTTAGTTTATTTTTTTGTTGTTTATTTTCTTTAGATTTTTTTATTTATTTGAAAGAGAGGGAGAAAAAGGAAACCATGAGTGGGTAGGGGAGGAGAAGGGGGGGCGGGCAAAGGAGAAGGACAAACAGACTCCCCGCTGAGCGCAGAGCTCCACCCCAGGACCCTGAGGTCAAGTAGAAGTCAGATACTTACCTGACAGAGTCACCCAAGTGTCCCCCCACCCAGTTTTGACATTAAAAAAAAAATCTGTATTTACATATGACATTAAAAAAATCTGTATTTACAAACAGATGGTAGGTATATATTACAGGGCTAAAGAAACTTTTCATTTTTATTTTTTTAAGATTTTATTTATTTATTCATGAGAGACACAGAAAGAGAGTCAGAGACCCAGGCAGAAGGAAAAGTAGGCTCCCTGTGGGGAGCCCAAAGTGGGACTCGATCTCAGGACCCTGGGAGACACCCTGGGCTGAAGGCAGATGCTCAACCGCTGGGCCACCCAGGCGTCCCTAAAGAAATAGTTTAGAAAAAAATTATACTATGAGAAACATAAAAGCTATTTAAAGCTATCATTAAATGAACACACATGGTTGTCTCTGAAAAAAAAAAAAAACAACCTTGAACTCCAAGGATTATGAAGTTAGGACATAACTGAATTGTTTGTGGGACTCATAAGGGCCACTAAATTATACTGAGATTAGAACCAATATACTAATGTTTCTACCCTAAAATGAAGGGTGAGAAATGCTCATGATACAAGGATAGATATCACTTTCCTTACTAATCCACCTCTTGAAAATACCATTCTGCTTCCATGAAAGATCTTTTTAAAGAATTATTTCAAACTTAAGTCTTCTCTCCTTCCCTGTGTTGCTGCTCACTTCCTACTCTCTCCCTTTTCTTTCCTAAAAAGTTGAAGGAGGAGAGGGCATGAGCATCTAGAGCCTGGAGGATTTATATTCTACTTACTTTATTATAAGCTCATTGAACATTAATTTCTTTGACTTAAAAGATTAATTTATTTCTTTGGACTTCGGAAAACTAGATAGCTCGTTTATGTAGACCTTCAAAACATACTACTTAATAAATTATCACACCCTGAGTTATGTGTCATGCTGGTCCTTTAAAAGAGAGTTGAAAGAGAGGTGAGGGATAAAAAAGGAGGGCGGAGAAGGTCAGAAGGGTCTAAAGGAGGGTGAAGAGGCAGCTGGCGCCCAAATCCACAGAATTTTAGGCTCCCTGTTTCCTTCCCATCGAGGCTTTGCTGGGTGCTCTTTCCTTCCCCCCACAACTATTAGTAAGAAAGGGCTAGTGAAGGAAGCCAGCCCCCACTTTCTCTTTCTCTATAAATAGGTTTTAATATGACAACTGTAATTCACTGAATAACATCTAATATGCAAGATTTTTGCCTTAGAGGTATTTATCATTGGGGCTCATAAAAACTGCAAATCATCACCATCAGATTTTAGAGAGGGGGACACTGGGCTCAGAAAGGTGAGTGATTTGTGGGATTCAGTGACGCAGCTCCAATTTGAACCGAAGGAACAGACTCCAAAATCACTTGTATGGTTGGTTATATATGTCACTTCTGTTATCCTACCCAGAGGAGTGTCGTACTCAGGGACCACGTAGGAGGGGATGGAGCCACTATGGTAGGCTTATTAGGTTGGGATATCCAAGGCCTTGCTATATTGTAGCATATTTTGGTATTAAAATTATGCCATTGAGGTGTTTGCCTACTTAGTCTATACTAGGGCCAGCACAAAAAGCCCAGATTTTTTTTAAAAAGACCAGAAGTTGTCTTTTTGGTGTATATATGAATATGAGTAAAGATAAAGATCACTATGATGAGCTAAAACCGATACGTATAATATCCTAGAGAAAATTATATCTTAGATTCATTAAATTTGTATTAAGCTACTATTTTAAAAATACGGCAAGTCAAACAGAGCGAGGTATACATATAAAAAGAAGGATCCTTAGGACAGGCGCGTAGGGGGATGGATGAAATAGATAATAGGTGTAATAGGTACTTACCGCGATGAGTGCAGAGTAACGCCCGCACGCATCGCATCGCCACACTGCACACCTGAAACCAACACCACACTGTGTGCTGCCTTTGCTGGAATTAAAATAACAAACTTGATTTTTAAAAAAGGATCCCTGAAAGACTGAAGAAGAAAGTACAGTGAGATAAGGAAAAAAAACAAATAAACCCCTCTTCCAGAAAAACTAGATTAAACAAAATCACTCGAATACAGCTTTTGCTTAGTGATTTTTCGCTGGTTTTCCTTAGAGACTAGTCAGTAATTTCAAGTGGAATATTTGAAAGTTCTTGACATAAATTGTGCTACTAACTTTTAATAATCTACAATGCAAAATGTTTATCATTACTACAAAATATTATTTTTTTAATTTTTCACCACTCATATTTGTTTTCATTCACTCACTCTTGCTGAATTAAATAAAGTTAATGACCACTAGGGAGCCTTCCTTATACTGAGTGCCCCAAAGCGACAATCTGGAGAATACAGGCTGACCTCGAAAGGACACATTCTGAAATTTTCCTTTCTACCACCACCCGTGTGTGTGTTTGTGTCCCACAAGCAACCACAAGCTTCTGTTGTCTGGTCCGAGGCGGGGAGGAGTGTCCCAGCTGAGGCTGCTCTGCGGGCGGGAAGGCCCTCCCGAGGGACCCGCCCCAGCCTCATACCGACCTGGAGGGCTGGTCTCACCTGCCACCTGCCCGGCGCTGGCACGGGCAAGACACCGCCAAGCGATCCCTTGGCTGGGACTCCTGGGGACACGAGTCCTACCTTGTGACTCTGGCGGTTTCGACCCAAGCTTGTCTTAGTAGCAGCTCAGCTTAAAATCTGAAGCACTGAGACACACCCCAGTGACCCAAAGGAGGCCACAGAAAGCTCAGAGTCTTGCAGAGTGTGTGGCTGGATCCCAGAGTCACCTTCCTCCATGAGTGAAGGAATTGAGGAGAGAGAGAAAGAAGGGGAAGAGGAGGAAGAAGAAGAAAGAAAAAAAAGGAAGGGGGGTAGGTAGAAAAGAAGGAAGGAGAAAGGAAGGAAAAGCACAGGGGCTTGACCTTGGAGAGACCGGGCCTCCAGCGCCAGGAAATCTGGAAGTCCCATTCCCCAGAGCACTCATTTTATTTCTGGCATTAAATAAAGCCCTCGGGGCCGGCCATTAATTTATCCGTGTTAAATCACACTCTTTCATACTCTAGTGGCCTGAAAAAGTTAATTTACCATTTGAATGGCATGAATGATGAATACTTACATCAAGTCTGGGCATTTTCTAATATTGAGCAATCAGCCTTTTTTTTTTTTTTTTTTTTGGCTTAGGTGTGCTTTGTTTTTTATCTATGGAAAAAAAAAAAGAAAATAGTGGTGTTCTGCTGGGGATAGCAGGACGGCTTCTTGGTCTCAGAGCCAAAGACGCTTTAACGGAGGCCTGGAGGGAGGAGAGAATATCAGAAAAGAAAAGGGAAGGAGAGGGGGAGGCAGATGGCGAGGCCCGAGTCCCTTGTCCTCTGTGCACCTGCCCTTTTCACTTGGGGTGCAGTAACCTTCTATCCCACAGCCTTGGATTCCTCTAAACCCAAGCCGGCCCTATCGGTGCTTATGGCCTCTCCTACGGGCCGAGCATGGGATTCTGAGCATTATGGTTGATTTTTACCCCCGCAAGCATCAGTTACCTGGGGCACTGAAGTAGGACGACTCGGGGCACTGAAGTAGGATGACTCGGTTTTGAAATGAAATGTCACGTGTGGAGAAGGGCTCGTAGCAATTGTTTAATTCAAACAATGGGAGGAAGCAGGCACCTGCCGGAGTGCGGTCCGCGGGCTCAGGAGTGTTTCCTGGGTTCCGGGCGCTACGGAAGGGCGCGGCCGGGGGAGCCTGACCTCGGGTCCCTGGAGGCGAGCGGGCGCCTCGGTGCCGCGGGGACGCTGGGGCGGACCGAGCAGGGGCGGGCGCGGGCGCGGGCGGGCGTGGGTGCGGGTGCCGGTGCGGGTGCGGACGGGGGCGGGCGTGGGTGCGGGCGGGGGCGGGTGCGGGAAGCCACCAGCCCCGGCGTCCCCCTCCACAGGCGCGGCGCAGGGAGCGGGTCTCTAGGGCGAGTGAGGGCACGAGGGCTGAGGGCGCGGGGCGGCGCGAGGGCAGGGGGCGTCTAGGGCGCCTCGCGGGAGCGAACCCCACCCCAGGGCTCGGCACACTTGAGCTGAGAGAGGCTTCCCGAGGTGCAGCCCGGAGGTCCGCGGGGGGCGGGGGGAGCGCCGCGTGGACCGGCCGCACCCCTGCCTGCCCCCACCCCTCGCCCCCCTTACCTCCCCCGGCCCCCCCACTCCCCTACCTCCCCCCACCCCCCGCCCCCCTTACCTCCCCCGGCCCCCCCCACTCCCCTACCTCCCCCCACCTCCCCCGGCCCCTCCCACTCCCCTACCTCCCCCCACCCCCCGCCCCCTACCTCCCCCGGCCCCTCCCACTCCCCTACCTCCCCCCACCCCCCGCCCCCTACCTCCCTCCGCCCCCCACGCCCCTGCCAACTCCCACCCCTCGCCCCACCCCCTACCTCCCCCCACCTCCCCCGGCCCCTCCCACTCCCCTACGTCCCCCCACCCCCCGCCCCCCCACTCCCCTACCTCCTCCCTCCTCCTCCCCCCGCCACCCCCGTCCCCGGCGCAGGGAGGCGGGCGGGACCCGGCCGGGGCAGGGGAGCGGCCGCGGGGGGGAGGCGCGTGGGGGCTGCCGGCGGCGTCGGCGCCTCCCGCGGGGCGTGTGCGGAGCGCGCGGCCATAAACCGGCTCCGTCCCCGCCGCAGTCGCCGCCCAGCCCGGCGGGAAGGGGCTCGGGATCCGCGGGGCCGCGACGGCGCGGGGGGCGGGGCTCGTGGGGCCGATGGACCGGGCCGCCCCGCGCCTGCTCCTGGCCCTCGGCCTCGGTAAGTGGCGGCGGGGGCGCGGGGCCCGGGGCGGGGGGCGCGGGGGGCGGGCTCTGCGCCCGGCGACCCGACCGGCCGCACCTGCGGGGGCTGCGCGTCACCTGGGCTGTACCTGCGGGGCCGCACCTGCCGGGCTCGCACCGACCGCACCTGCGGGGCCGCACCGACCGTACCTGCGAGGCCGCACCTGCCAGGGCTGTACCTGCGGGGCCGCACCTGGCGGGGCTGCGCGATGCCAGGACCGCACCTGCGGGGCCGCACCTGCCAGGACCGCACCTGCGGGGCTGCCCGACGCCGGCGGAAGGGGTCCCGAGGCCCGGCGCCGGAGCAGGTGCCCGGCCGGGGAGGGGCGCGGCGGAGTCCCCGGAAGAGGGCGGGCCGCGGGCGGAGGACTGCTCGGAGGGGGCGCCCCCCTGCCCAGGAGCGCCGGGTGCGGGGCCGGGGAGGGCACCTGCGGGGGGGGGGGTGCCGGGAGCACCGAGGCCGCGGCGGGTCGGGGCGGGTCGGGGCTGCGCGACAGCCCGGGGCAGGTCCTGAGCGCGGAGGGGAGGCGGCTCGGCCGGGCAGCAGCTGCGCAACGCAGACGCGTTTACTTGGAATATATCGTTTCCTATTTTAAGGCAAAACGGGGCACGGAAAACTTTTCTTCATTGAGAAAAATTCAATTTGGGCGGTTGGGCTCAGGAGCACTGGGCGGGGGGGACACTGCTGGGGCCCGAGGTTAGGGGGCGGTCGGCCACAGGCCCTCCTCACCTGCCCGGAGCTGGGACTCGGGTGCTGGGGAGGCTCCCGCAGCTGCATGTGCGAGGGGACCGGGAGGGCGCACCTGGGCCAGCCTCGCAGCAGGACAGGCCTCGGCATCCCGGACCCGTCGCGGGAGGCGGGGGGAGGGAGCAGCGGGATGTGAGGTCCTGGCTGAACTGAGCGGCAGGGCCCCCTGGGCTGGAGGCATGATCCGCAGCTTATGGCTTACCTGTCTCCGCCACCTCCCCTCTACCTGCAGCCTGGGGAGGCCGGGTTTCTCATGTGGTGGGGAGACAGGTGGGGTCTACACAGACACTTTCATTTGGCCATGGTCCTGGGAGGAAGAGAGGTGGCTAAACATGTATGACGACCTTGGCTGGAAGTGGATCTGACTTCGGGCCCTGGTTAGGGAGAACAGAGGGATTTAAGAAACCCCACAGGGATCCCTGGGTGCCTCAGGGGTTGGGCGCCTGCCTTCAGCCCAGGATGTGATCCTGGAGACCCGGGATCGAGTCCCACGTCGGGCTCCCTGCATGGAGCCTGTCCCTCTGCCTGTGTCTCTGCCTCTCTCTCTGTGTCTCTCGTGAATAAATGAATTAAATCTTTAAAAAAAAAAAAAAGAAAGAAAGAAAGAAAGAAACCCAGCAGAGGAAGAAGTCAGTGACACTGTAGTAGGGGCATCCCATGGAGTCTGCAAAAGGGCAAGGGGCAGACAGAGCTGGGCCCAGGACCACTGCTGATGCTCTGGGCAGCATGGCTTGGATACAGCAAATGTTCTCTTCCTCCACTCTGTCTGGACTGTCCAACAAAGTATTGACTGAAAATCGGGACAGTCATCAAGATGTTAGAGGATGTGGGGATAGGGGTGGGAATAAGGCTCAGGAGTCCTGCCTAGCGATGTTACGCTGAGGGGCACCTGGGTGGCTCTGTCAGTTAAGTGGCTGCCTTTGGCTCAGGTCCTGATCTGGGGGGTCTGGGATGCCGCCTCACATCAGGCTCCCTGCTCAGTGGGGAGTCTGCTTCTCCTTCTGCCTCTGCTCCTCCCCCCCCCCCCCCCTTGTGCATGCACACACACTCTCTCAAATAAAAGAGAAATTTTTTTAAAGATGTTATTCTGAATTTGGGAATGCAAGACTAATCAGTATGAAACTATAGAGAGACATTCATAAAACCAGAGAACAGTAGCTCGTCAGTGAAGGATGGAGCAGCAGGACAAGCTGGGAAAAGAACCCTACGGTTGACTAAATTCTTGGGTAGGATTTGGAATAAGCAGGAGAGGCCAATGACTGAGGGGGCTGTGTGGGGTGAGGGGAGGGAGCTGGGGGCCAGGGCACCTGAGTGTCTCAGGTATAGTCCAGACAAACTAGTTAAGGCCTAGATTAGGGCTCTGTGCCAGCACAAATGTCATGATAGAAGTGATTATTCCAGGTTGATAGACATTCTTCCCCCTTCCCTATCACAGAACGCTTTATTGTTGCCTCAAAACTTGTCACAAGGCAGAAACGAAAAGATAAAACAAACTCTAATGCAGTGCCTTCTTACACTCAGGGTAACCGGTGATGGAACTGCCCTGTTGAATGTTTGGCTTAGGGAACTGAATTCCGACTCCAGGTCCCCTAAAATTCCAGGGCTTGCAAAATCCCAAAGGATGTGATTTGTTGGCATCAATGCTCCTGTGAAGTGGTTCTATTTTTCTCACATATGCTTGACTTTTCAGTTTCATTCCTAATTTAAATCATACGTTCAGTGTTATTTACTCTTTGAAGAAAAGGTGAGCAATGCACTGTGTAATGCACGTGGGTGTGAGTGTGACCGGGGAGGAGGGGCGGGTGGAGAAGTGCCCTGGGAACGGGCATGGAGCACACATGAGACCTAGTTCTGGTTCTGCCATCCTGGAGCTCTGAGACGTCTATAAATGCCAACTTTTTGGACATTGTTTTTGTCATTTGTAAAATGAAGGAGTTGCTTTAGATGAGCCGAAGGTCCTTAGCGACTTGATGTTGTATTCATCTTTTTTTCATAAAGATTTTATTTATTTGACAGTGAGACAGTAAGAGAGCACAAGCAGGGGAGGTGGTGGAGGGAGAGGGAGAAGCAGGCTCCCCACTGAGCAGGGAATCCCCCGCAGGGCTCCACCCTGGGCCCCCCCCCGGGATGCCCTGAGCCGAAGGCAGACGCTTCACAAACTGAGCCACCCGGGTGCCCCGTACCCATCTTTAACTAACGTTTCCATTGGGAAGTTTAAGAGGGATTTTTTGTCCAACACTATAGACCTTTGATTTACTTTGTAATGGGATCTTTATTTCATACAAACTTTATAATAACGGAGAACCACGGATGCTTATTTCTTTGAGAAACATGGTAAAGAGGCAATAACTTTGGGGCACGTGCTGGCTCAGACGGCTAGGCATCCAACTCTTGATTGAAGACTCTCCCTCTCCCTCTCCACCAGCTCACACTAGTGGGCCTACACACTCTCTCTCATTCTAAAATAAGTAAATAAATCTTTAAAAAGAGGTAATAACTTTGCTTAAAGTATCTTTTTTATCTCAAAGAAATCAGATTATCTCATTTTTAAATTGTTTTTTAATTTCTCCCTCTCATCCAATTGCTGTATAAAACTAAAACTGAAATCATAACCAGTGAAAAAGGTAAGAAAAAGTTACCTTTTAAAAAATGAATGATTTTAAGATTAAAAATAGGTTCCCCTCCTCATTAAAATTGAAAACCTTGATATCTGTGAGTTGATGGAAGTTCTGCTTGAGAATATGCCTGTCCTCATGCTGTATATCTAGTTTCCAAGTTACAAAGAAGGTAGGGGGCAGCAAGTGAAATTCCCATTGTACAAATGACATAAGTGGAGCCCTAAATGCTGAAAATTTTTGGGCTTTGCCTCTTAGGCTACACTTCTGGCTTAGAAGAGCATCACAAATGTTTTTTTCCTCCTCAGAATCCCAGGTTTTGCACATAAACAGCTGTCACAAATTGATTTTTGCTGTTGCTCCATTCTCAGTTGTTGGGTGGAAATTCCCAAATAATTCTGGAAGGCCCCACCACTGCAGGCCTGCTTTGCTTATTCCCACTGAAGGTGTCCTTGCGGATGCTTTAGGCTGCCCGAGGCAGTGCCGATGGCAAAGGCCCTGAGGACAGAGAGTGCTCGTGTCTGTCCCAGGATCTGTGCTGACACTGCTCACCCCCTTACCCTGGTGCGCCTCAAGTCTTCAGAGCCCAGCACAAGAACCCCATCTTGGTTTTTCTCACCCTTTTATTGTAGTCAGGTCATGCCGGGACATAGACACGAGTGTCACTAGGAGGACAGTCAGGGGGACAGGGAGGGCCAGGCTCCCAGCTGTACCTTGGATCAGCTCTCTGAATCATGGGCCAGGCTTGCCAGCTCTCCGTTAGGGTTAGCAGCTTCCAGGATGCTCAGGCAATCCAGAATCCAGGCCGCAGGCAGCTAGGCCCAAGCCGTGATCCTGATATGCTTCCCAGGTTGCCACGACAATCCCCTGGCTCCACAAAAAAATCTGTAGACCAGTGGGCCGGGGTTGGGAGGGTTCCAAAGTAAAATTTAAGAAGAGAGCCAGCAGATTACGGTGGGTTTGCTGTGCAACGCTAGTAACAGCTCGCCGTCCTGGGCATATTGGTGCCTTACAGAAGGAAGTTTAGTAATTCAAATGAATCTCTGCTAAAATTTAAAGAAATGAGAGGAGTATTTTTTTAGATGGTTGGAGAGAGAGGGGGTATTTCATCTTAGCTCAGATCACTTAGGCAATAACCTACTTTGATTATCAGCAAGATCAATTCAAATAGCCACAAACTACTTTTATTCCACTCCTTACATTTTTTTAAAGATGTGTAGTATGAAAAAAAAAAAAGATCTGTAGTATGTACCCCAGAGAGTAGAGTAGTGACGAAAAGTCCAAACAAAGTGTAATGATGTTTGTGTTCAGCCTTTTTTATTTAAAAGTGCCTGAGTTGGTAGTAGAAGAGAATGAGTTAGGAATATAACGTTTCCCTCTTTGCAAAATCATGGGTGTATTTATTCACTTAGCCTTATTTATTTTTAGAAGGGGATGCAGAAAGCGTGCCTGGCACATAGTAGGGGCTCAAAACCTATTAGTTAATTGACTGGATGAATGCAGGTTTGTGATAATGTCCAGTCATTAAAAAAAAATAACAGATTCGGTAAAGAAAACAGTTCTATTTCTTGTTGGCAAAACATGCACACAATTCAGAGAAGTAGAGAGACTTAT